CCCTGCAGCTATCGCAGTCAACCATCTTCCCTCCCCGCTCCCGCGGGACTCTTTCGCTAAAATGAACAAATGACTTTGATCCCAATGGGATCGTTATGGCCAGGGTGTAGTGTATCTAAACAAACAGAAACATAAGAAACCAGTCACTGTTTTAAGAACCACTACCAGCACTGCCAAGAAAAGTACCTTTTTGCTGCTTCTGCACTTTCTGTTTCATGCGCAAGAAGAACTTTTGAGGAGATTCTGAAACCAGAGTGTCCACAGCGAGGGAATCCACATTTTTGTTTCGCGCTATCTTGGGGCAATGCAGTGCTAAAAGAAAAATGTTCTCTTAAATTCAGGAAGCGAACAACAGTATAACAGAAATCGTTAGTATTCATTTAAAAATTACTAGACTAAATATACATTTCATAGAACATTAACTTCTCCAATGAAAAAAATACATAATTCTCTTATTTCTTGTATTTCAAACTTTAAAAAACAAACAAAAAACAGGATTTATATAAGCCATTTGTTCCAAGTGGGACACAGTTCCATTAAAAAGTTTATTTTTTTGAAAAAATAAAGGTCATGTCCCACTTCATAACAGACCTGATTTGGCTCACTCCTTATATTCCCTCTACTTGCCAATATCAGAGTTGTCTTTTGGAATAGGAAAGGGCAGTGCTTCTTATCTATGGCTAGAAACAGGCAGTCTAATGAGATTCAGTTTTTCTCTTTTCTTGTTTTTACCTCCCGTCTTTTCCCCCTTTTGTCTTAGATCTCTTCTCTACATGAGCAGTTCAGCTCTTAAAAACCTCTAAGACCTGAAATCCTGCCCCACTGATATCCATGGGAGCTTTGCTATTGACTTCAGTGGGATCAGGCTTCACCCCTAATAAGTAGTGCTATTACTACCCCACAATGGAACAGAAGATTCCAGCTAACAACCAAAACTGTTATTACTTTTGTCATAAATATAAAGGGAAGGGTAAACCCCTTTGAAATCCCTCCTGGTCAGGGGAAAGCTCCTCTCACCTGTAAAGGGTTAAGAAGCTAAAGGTAACCTCACTGGCACCTGACCAAAATGACCAATGAGGAGACAAGATACTTTCAAAAGCTGGGAGGAGGGAGAGAAACAAAGGGTCTGTGTGTGTCTGTCTATATTCTGTCTTTGTCGGGGATAGACCAGGAATGGAGTCTTAGAACTTTTAGTAAGTAATCTAGCTAGGTATGTGTTAGATTATGATATCTTTAAATTGCTGAGAAAAGAACTGTGCTGAATAGAATAACTATTTCTGTCTGTGTATCTTTTTTGTAACTTAAGGTTTTGCCTAGAGGGGTTCTCTATGTTTTTGAATCTAATTACCCTGTAAGATATCTACCATTCTGATTTTACAGGGGGGATTTCTTTATTTCTATTTACTTCTATTTTTATTAAAAGTCTTCTTGTAAGAAAACTGAATGCTTTTTCATTGTTCTCAGATCCAAGGGTTTGGGTCTGTGGTCACCTATGCAAATTGGTGAGGCTTTTTATCCAACATTTCCCAGGAAAGGGGGGGTGCAAGTGTTGGGAGGATTGTTCATTGTTCTTAAGATCCAAGGGTCTGGGTCTGTAGTCACCTAGGCAAATTGGTGAGGCTTTTTACCAAACCTTGTCCAGGAAGTGGGGTGCAAGGTTTTGGAAAGTATTTTGGGGGGAAAGACGCGTCCAAACAGCTCTTCCCCAGTAACCAGTATTAGTTTGGTGGTGGTAGCGGCCAATCCAAGGACGACGGGTGGAATATTTTGTACCTTGGGGAAGTTTTGACCTAAGCTGGTAAAGATAAGCTTAGGAGGTTTCTCATGCAGGTCCCCACATCTGTACCCTAGAGTTCAGAGTGGGGGAGGAACCTTGACAACTTTAGTATCAAAAAATTCCACACCTTTAAAAAAAACAAAACAAAAAAAAACACATTAAGATATCTGCAAATGAACACTTAAGGGAGCTAGCTAGTTCCTCTTACTCCTTTGTCACTGTGTACAAATGGGAAACTTCTGTACAGGGAAATTCAGTCAGTTAAGTTTTCTATGCTTTTTCCTGCTGAGGCTAGAGCTCTCCCATCGACTTAATTACTCCAGCCCCAGCAAGCAATGGAGGCAACATCCATGGGAGAAGCTCTCTCACCAACAGCACTTAGGTCGGTGTAGCTTACATCACCCAGAGGGGTGACTTATTCACACCCCTGCGTGATGCCACTTATACCGAGTTAAGCTGTAGCCTGTACACAGCATATGTACATACAGACATAAAAAGGCTCAAAACTACTAGAACACTGTATGACAACAGTGGTCTTATATTGTTCATAAGACATTAAGATACTACAGACCATCTCACTCCCCCTAAGACATCACAGCACAGGGACAGTGTGGCAATGTGAAGTACCCTCCACAGCAGCCTACTCCCAGTTCTAAAACCCTACAAAAGCATAGCACACCTGATGGAATAGAAATCCATGACTATGTGTACTGGTTGCTCCCTGAAGCTTGATCCATCCCTCCATTCAGACACACAATCACTGTATTACAGTGATACAGATCAGACAGATACCACCATCATCCTTGCGTTTTACTGGAGATGTAATATAACCAGGCATCTTGGAAATATAATGCAACAAACCTTTCCCTGGCTGGATCTGTCTATCAGGTACCTTGCCAGCTTTTTGCTGGTTTTCTTCATCACTGGATTTTTTATCCTGTGTTCCCTGATGGACAAGTTTTGTAGCAGGAGTCAGGATCAAATCGCTGTTGTAATTTGTCCCTAACAATGTTCCCGTGGGTGGCATTTGATGCTGTTTTTCATGGGATGCCTTGGCTTTCATTCTTTGGAAGATTTTTGCTGGAGATTCATGAGTTAAAGGATCACAAGCTTTGCGTTTCAGTAAATGTTTGTCTTTTAGTGGCAAGATCTGTTGCTGCTGGCAAGATGCAACTTGTACTGCTACAGTGTCAGAATCTGGCCTTATTTCACTGAGGTCAAGAAATTCTTTAACATATGTGCCACCCGTTATTAATGTGGACTGAAAAATACCTTCCCTTTTCTTGGAAGTTCCTGCCCCTCTTGCATGGTTTTCCTCGAAGTCATGTAAAACTAAAGGGAGCACAGCTTCTTTTGTTGCAGAAGTAGTCAGACCAGCATCTTGAAATTTCACCAAATCTTTTAAAGGAGTAATAGTACCTGACGGTATGTTACTCAGTAAGATTGCCTGCAAAGGCATATCTCCTCGTCTGCTAGAAGAAATGTGAGATTTTGAAATCCTTGTATTTTTTAAAGGTGTAGCAATCATCTTGCCAAAGTTGACAACAACGTGTTGTGCTCCTACTGCAAAGTCATTAAAATGTGCATGTTCAGGTATAGTTTTTTAAATGACGGAAGGAGGAACAAGAATTCCATGGATTGTCGACTTTATTTCTTCAAATTTCAGCTAAAAAGAGAAACGTGGTTAAAAAAGTTGGTCTTTACGTTTTCACTGTTAGTGCCACATTTTAAAGTAAACTTCTGTTGTACATCAATCAAGTTGAAGTGCTACATACAGATGCAAAAAGAAAAGGAGGACTTGTGGCACCTTAGAGACTAACCAATTTATTTGAGCATGAGCTTTCGTGACCTACAGCTCACTTCATCGAAAGCTCATGCTCAAATAAATTGGTTAGTCTCTAAGGTGCCACAAGTACTCCTTTTCTTTTTGCGAATACAGACTAACACGGCTGTTACTCTTAAATCTACATACAGACGGGCAGCCTGCTTGTTTCACAGCCAATTATTTAGTTTCAGAAAAGTGACACACAAACATGCCACACTTAAGCAACTGTATTGTCATGGATTGCTCGGTTTACTCGGTTAAGAATGTCTCAAGGAGCAGAATTCTAGACCCCTGACGTAAATAGGAGACTTCACAAGTGACTTCAAGGGGAACGGGATCAAGTCCCTTGGCTGTTTTCTAAAACTACAAGGCTCCAGCCTCTTGCAGGCGTCAGGAAAACGATGGGGAAAGATCAGCTTTGGGCTTAGGAGTTCCCCATCCCCAGAGCCCTGTTAGCCACAGTCCCTATCCGGGGCAGCTGTACCACGAGAGCGGGGGTTTCATGGGCGAGACAGAGCTCGTGTGCAGCGCCGAGCACAGGCCACGGGAGACACAACGCCCGGGAGGGAACAGCCGGTGCTGCTGACAGCTGGTGCCTCCCACCAGCTCCCGGTACAAGCGGTCACCCACCTTGGCCCTCCCCCCTAGCCCGGGACCAGCGCGGGTCTCGCCCTGGGCGGGCCACGCCGAGCCTGACGGCCCCGCCCCATCGGGGCTCCCGGCCGCGCCGCTCCCCTCAGGCGTCCGAGACGCGCCGAGCCCGGCCCGGGCCCACGAGAGGCTGGGTCCGCGCTCTGCCCCCTCACACCGCCACCCCTCCCCCAAGCGCGCGCGCGCCCAGCCGCCCGCCCGCCCCTCCGCGGCAGGGCCCGGCCCGGCCCGCCACACTCACCCCGCCGCCTCGCTCTCGCCGCCCGCCGCCGCTTTTCTCTCCCCTGCGCGGCGCGCGCGCGGCCGTTACAAGTTTTGAGTCCCGCCGCCTCGCACGCTGATTGGCAGGGAGGGGAGTGACGTCGGCGGAGGCGGGACTGCGGCCGTGGTAGGAGCGGGCAGAGGCGCCCGCCGGCCCGCGGTTCGCTCGCAGTGACGTAAGGCGGGCGGGCGGGCGGGAACCAGCCGGGGGGGGGGCGGGGCGGGGCGAGGCTCGCTGGGCTCTGTCGGTCTGCGGGCGCTGTTACCTTCCCCGCCTCGTGCCGTGGCGGCGCGGGATCCCCGGGCTGGGGGGCTGGGACCCTCCCCCCCCTTCGTTATTTACAAACAAAAGGGAGCGCGGCCTGCTGCTGCCCGGTGTTGGGGGCGCGCCCGGGCGGGTGGGGGGGGGGGGGGCGTGAGGGGTTCCTCAGCAGGTCCCACCCCCGCAGAAGTGGGGCGGGGCTGGAAGATGCCGGGCCCCACGAAGAGGCGGCGGGGCCAGCCCCCCACGCCCCAGCCGGCCTCCTCTCTTGTTTTCCCCCCTCGGGGAGCTGAGGGGGCGGCTTGGCGCAAGCCCGCTCGCCGCCTGGCTGTGAGAAGCCCCCGGGGTGCAGACATGGGCCCTGCGCCGCCCTTCGGCCCCTACGCCTGAAACCGGCCTGAGGGGGTCACCCGCTCGCCCCGCGCCGCGGCCCGGAACGGGCTTCTGCTTTCGCTGCCTGCTGTCGGGCCGGGGAACGCGCTGGCTCCCCTCAGACGCTGCGTACAACGGAGCAGCTTCGCTCGCGTGGGTCAGGTTACTCCTGCGCAGGTGTCTGCATGAGCCAAGTGCTGTTTATTAACAGGAGGGGCACCTCTGCTTTGTTCCTCACATTTCCTAAGCCGCCTCAAAGAAATGCTCGTGCTAAGTTTGATTTGCGTTTTGTCGAGAAAGGCAAAGGTCTCCTTCAATTTCAGAAATCCTTTCCCTCTGAGTGGGTTATTTATCTCGTTGGTACTTGGGCATACGATTTTATATCCATCAGGTGACGAGGTGGCCCTTTTCCTACCAGTGACTTCAGTAGGTTTGTAAAAAGAACAGGAGGACTTGTGGCACCTCAGAGACTAACACGTTTATTTGAGCATGAGCTTTCGTGAGCTACAGCTCACTTCATCGGATGCATTCAGTGGAAAATCGTAGGTTTGTAGGTGCCGTTAGTGCCTGGGGTAATATGCCAGATAGTGAGTTCTTCCACCATGTTACAAAAGAAAAGAGGAAAAAGACAAGTGAATGGTGACACTAACAAAACTTGTATCCAGATGTGCTGGCTCACTGAGATAAGAAAATAAAAAGGGAGTGAAATCAGGAGGTAGCAAAGGCATCTAATAGACCAGACCTCATGGATTTAGATTGGCTCTACTAGTTGAGCTTTAAAATTCAGAGTTGCAGGCAAAAGGCCATGTAACTATTCAACAATGTAACTGATTGGATAATTATGCTAGTTATGCACAGTGCACATATATAAAATCTAAATCAAGGAAAAGGAAAATACACAATTACTGGCGATCAAAGTTCAAGCTTGGTCTCTTCAGGGAGGAAGCTGGTGACAGCTTGTTGAGTTTTTCAGGGAAAACATCCAGTTTGATGAAAAACCTCCTTTACAAGCTCAAGGCATCTAGGCAGGAGTGGCTGTCTGGACCCTATTATTTGCTAAGACCATCCATTGTGGATTTCCTAACTATCTCTGCTGCTTTCCCTCTCCTCCTCTAGTCTGTAGAGAGAAACTCCAACCCCAGAAGAGAGAGGTATCTGCAGGGGAGCAACCTGTGTGAGTGATGAGAGGATATTGTGTGCGTAAGGGGGATGCGAGTCAACATGTTATATGTGCAAGTGGTGGAGGAGAGAGGATTAGCTGTGAAAAACTGAAAGAGAAGTGCTCACCAGTCCAAGGCACTGTTTTCTTCAGCAAGCCAATAACTTTGCATTATGTTACGGGTTTCACCTACCTGTGCTGCTAACCATGTGTCAATCACTTAAATTGGGATCATCTGGTAAGGTAATTGAAAAGAAACCCAACATTAGCTGGTAAAATTAAAAGAGAGAGAGAACACCAGAGGAAGTTGGTAAAACATCAAAACAGGAGCTGCAAGGTTAGGGGCACTTTTATATTTTGTGTCTGGTTGTTTAGATTGTAATTTTGGCCTAGGTATAATGATAACAGATCTTGGCGCTATAGCGGGGCAATAGCAATAAAGTGTATTGGCTGTGTTTAATGTACAAAGGTACATGTGTGGTGCCGTTGATGAGTGGCTCCATCCTATAGTAGTGGTTATTGCTATCTTCTAGCATTCCAGCATTTTACATACTGTTTTGCCTTGGGAAATGTAAGACTTAATGTATCATTGCCCATTTTATCCCTTCTGCGCTAGATTATCTGTAATATCAGTGAAGAATACCAGTTCCTTGTGCACTTGAAATAAGGTACAATGAGGAGGGCTTAGGCTAGGCTGCGGGAGCCTTTTAATATTAAGAGAAACTCGGTGCACCTCATTCAACCAGAATAGATTATTCTTTGAAATTAAAAAAATAATAATCCATTTCTTGAAGATTTGCATTCTGATTCCTACAGAGATTTATAGCAACTATGAAGAACCTTGGAAATCAGTCATTAATTGTTACTCTCCCTTTTGGACTCTTTTCTTGGCAGTGGTGTAATTAGATTTGTCTTTTCTACATATCTATCTAGTTTACCACTTTATAGTTTATTTGCATTACCACATTTCTTTGCTCCATTTTTATAAAAAGTGCATGCTGTTGCTTCAGAATCAGTACTAATTTTTATCATGCTCTGCAATACTCTTTTACTCTTTTTGAATTTCTGAGATCTCATTTCAGGTACATTTAGATCTCTGAATAAATCTGGTCCTTCTTTTGCCTTTGGGGAAGAAGTCAAATTTATAATTATTTAATAACCCATACTTTGGCTTTAAAACTCCAGAAATGCCATTAAATCCACTTAAATCTTTAATTTTCTCTTTGATTCATGCTGCAAATTAATTAGACATATTACGTGTCTAATCTCTCGCCTGTTTTTTGTCTTCCCATTTCTTCCTTGGCAGGGTCTGTATTTTATTTGTTGCAGTTGAATGAATCTTGGCTGTGAATAAGGCTGTTGGCTGTAGTACTTTTGGCTTGTTTTCAGAAATTGGAAGGTTTGCCATGACTGAAGCAGAGGGCTACAGGAAGAGAAAAGATGATCTTGTGGTTCAGGCATTTGAATGCTACCTGGAAGAACTCTGTTCTATCCTTGCCTCAGAGACAGAGTTTGTGTGATGCAAGGCACATTACTGAAACCAGAACTTTCACAGTTCGCCACTAACTGTGTGTTCATCATTTTCTGAGGACCTGACTTCCAGACATGCTGAGCACCCACAACTTCAGCTATGGCTGTTTAGCTATAAGAGGACAATGCTGTCTGGAGGAATAAGCACAGGGCTGGTTGATTGTAGGACTAGTTCTACTCCCGACTCTGCTGCTGATTCACTTTGTGGCCTTGAGCAAGTCACTTTGGCCCAGATTTTTAAAGGTATTTAAGTGTTGCTCTGTTCAGCATTGCAAGGCTTAAGTGTCATTTTCAAAAGTGACCTAGGTACTTAAACTCCTCGCTCACATTTTAAAATGAGACACACACTCCTAAATCAGTTGACCATTGCAACACAGAGCAGAGCAATGCCTAAATACCTTTAAATATCTGGGCCTGTGCCTTTGTTCATTTGTAAAATGGAGAGTTGCGAAGATAAAATCATTAATATTTTTAGGCTCAGATAGTACAGTGAGTGCACAGAAGACAACCTGAAATTAATAATTCTGGGTTTGGATGGTGTGCAATAAATAAGGCCTGTGAACACTTTCCATTGTGCGTGGTGAATGATGCAGAGGTTCTTTGGAAAAAATTCTGTGCAATCATGTAATTAAAGACTATCGGTTATGTTCGTAACATACAAACAGCAAAGTTGGATAAAATGCTCTCTCTGGAAAGTGGCAATGTAACACACTGTTATTTCTTAGATTCCAGAACACTAACACACAAGAATCAAAATCAGAGAGAGGCAAAGCAGGTTGCTCCCCAAGGCAGAGAAACACAACTTAACCCACTTTGCTCTAGGCTGACTCTTTACAGACTGACTGCTGAAAATCCAGATCACGTGCTTCCGTACAGAGCCCCCAAGCCTGCAAGCAAGATCAGAAAACCCTTATACTTCAAGTGACAGCTTAAATTTTTAACACCGTATTCAATGCCCTACTGTATCATGCACAGACAACCTTAATTCTGCCACTTTCTAACTTTCCTGTACCTGACCTTGCAACCTTAACATTCTTTTATTGTAAGACAGGTATGGTATTATTTACAGTATCTCTACAAAACACACTGTAGTTCATGCACACATTTATGTACTTCATGGTACATGTTAATATGTGGTATAAATGTAGGTGGCAGTCATGCTACCGCATTCAGTCAACTCCTTTCTCTTGTAGGCTTTGGGCCACAGGGTTTACATTTACATAATACTTTTCTTGGCTATGTAACTAATTGTTGTCGTTTTTTGTTTGTTTTTTTTTTAAGAGAGTGGAAGAATGCAGGAGAAAAGTATGCCAACCAGTAATACAGGGATAATGAGAGCCACTCACTTGCTGCAGTTACCGCAAGAAATGCTGACTGAGATAATCAGGTACCTTCCTCCTGCGGAAAAATCCAAGGTCCGTGCCACATGCAGTCTCTTCAAGGACCTGGTTGATCAGCCTGTTGTGTGGCAAAAGAGTACCATTGTTCTCCGACGCATAAGCGCTTTCAACGCCGAGTTCTGGGACGTGCTTCGGAAAAGAAAGATCACTTCTGTAGAAGTGAAAGAAATCGGGCTTAAGCAATGGCAAAAGCTGCTGAGGTTCATGCCTGGTCTGCTAGATGTAACTGTGGATTCCCTCTGGAGCAAGGAAATCCTGCAAGGTTTACAGCTGCTCACAGGTCTACAGAAACTTCACTTGAAAATGTGCTCTAGGTTATCTGAGAGAAGTATAATCAGGGAAATTGTGCACTTTCAACACCTTACCCACTTGTTGTTGTGCGGCATAACCTTCTTAAGTAGCAGTGAATTGATCAGAATTGCTTGCTTACAAAACCTACATCTGCTCTCATTGCATACTGTGCAAAAGGCTCTTCCTGAGAAAGCACTAGAGTATGTTTTATTCCATTTACCAAAACTCAGAGAACTGTCACTTTCTTATATCCTGAATAAGGAGCATTTTTTGTTATGCCTCAGTTTGCCAGATAGACTTCCCATCCCTTATTCATCAGAAGGTGAGCGTTGTTTCTATAGGCTATATTTATATACGCTATATTCAGAATTATGGCACCAGTCCTACCAGCTCTGATGCATGTGTTTAACTTTGCTACCATGAGAAATCAATAGGACTACTCAAGGTAGAACGTTAAGTATGTGCATAAGAGCTGGCAGGATTGGGGCCTAAGTGTCCATTGTTGCTCAAAGGATTACATGCTGAGTATATTAGAGTGTGTTGGTAGTGAAGATTTATTCTTAACTGTATCCCCTTGCTTTAGTGGACTAGGTTCAGATTTTCATTGCATTACTGTTTTGATATGTTGTAAACATGTTTCCTAAAGCTTGTGGAGTATTTTAAACTGAATATATAAATAGCTTTTTCAAATTTATGATTATGGCTGGGATTTTTAAAAGGGATTTTGGTGTCCCTCTCCCCTGAATTTTGATAGCTTTTGGATGCTGGACTCCCTTGAGAATCCCAGGCTCTAAAAATAGGATATGGGGACCCATGATTAGGCTGTAGAATATAATCCTGGCCTAAAAGGAGGATATAGTTCTTGGCCAAGACTTTCAAAAGTGACTTGATTTTAAGTGTCTGTTTTCAGATCTCCAAATGGAGACACCTTTAATGGGTTCTGATTTTCAGAAAGAGCTGAGCACTTGCCCTCAAAATCAGGCACCATTAAAGTGACCTCCCCAAAAAATTACCTCGCCCACGTTGTCTCTCCCAAATCACTAGTCATTTTTTTAAAATCTTGGCACACACATTTAAGTATTGTAGCATTTTTATAATATACTTCAGTTTTACACTAGAGCAGAGATTCAACCTCTTTGTTTTATATTAAAATCCCTGTGTATCTTCACTTTACAGCACATAATCGGAGAGCACAGAGAAAGTTCTTTGGGGATCGTCAGCGGAATTTGTTCCTTAGTTTAGGAATCTTAAAATAATTTTTAAATGGACCCTTTATGAAATTTGCATATCTGACCTTTTTTCAGAGCCCTTCTACTAACCAACAATTGGTTAGTTTGTTGTTCAAACTTTCTAGATAACTCATTGTCAGATACCTTCCTGTTTGAAGAAATTAGGTTGCAGTTAAGCCAAATTATTAACCAAAGTGTAGGTGTGTGGGGGGATTTCCCCCCCCCCCGTCTTTCCTGTTATATTCACTATGTGCTACCATAAGTATGAACCTAATGTAAAGACTTGTACACAACCTTGTGCTTTAATATTGGAAAACAAATATCTCTGGGATGTCAAATAAGTATTTCCCCCCACCTTTTCAATCAATCCACTATGTTTAGAGTCGCCTCCTGTTCCAAAACTTCAGCTTCACACTCTGGCCTTGAGGCAAACTGGTTATAACCTTCTTTCAGAGCGTTTCCTGGATCAGCTCTCCACCATACACACTCTGACTGTTTGTTACATCAAGGACTTTTTGTTACACTCAGTGGATGTTTTTGGACAGGTGCTGAAGAACCTACCAAACTTGACAGAATTAAATCTTCTATGTAAGTTGTTTTTAAGATTGCAGTGTTTTTTGGTTTTGTTCTGTGCAGGCTTAGGAAGGTTTGGGTAGTTTCATCTTCAGTTAAATGGTAACCAGCAAGACAGCAAAGAGCTTATTTTTATGGATGTTTCTGTTGGCTGATATATCTTGTCTCTGAAAAAATCAGTTCCCCAATTCAGAACCTGCTTGGCTTGACTGTGTTCATTCAAACCTGACTGAAAAATCAGTCTAGATATCTACTATTTAATGAAGCTGCTGCCTTATGGCTCTTAATGCCCTCCGGGTTCCCTTCCCAGTCCAGTTGACAGATCCCCACTACTTCTTATTTACGCTTGGGATTTGTCCCCATTTCAGCCATGGAACCAGCCACTGATGCGGCTGCACCTGTGAAAACCCCTATGAAGTCCTAATCCTCTGTGTAAGGGCTGGCCGAAACTGAAAATGTAGGGGTGTGAAAAATCAGTACCCTGAGAGATGTAGTTATGCCGACCTAGCCCTGGTGTAGACTAGGAATTCTTCCATGGACCTAGCTACTGATTCTCGGGGAGGGGTTAACTACAGCGATGGAAGAATCCCTCCTATCACTATAGTTAGTGTCTACACTGAAGTGTTACCGCTGCACAGTTGTGCTGCTATAGCCACAGGCGCTGGCTTCCTCTTGGCTTGCTCGTTCCGCCCCCGGACCCACCTCCACCTGCCCCCTTCTCGCAAGCCCCCACCTTCACCCCACCTCTTCCCCGCCCCCACTCTGCCCCAGGGCTGGAGCACCCACAGAGTCGGTGCCTATGGTTGTAGCATATTAAGTTTAGACAAGTCTGAAGTCACAGGACTGGAAGTTTTTATTTTTATTAGGGGAGCAAAAGATACTATGTTATAAAGCTAAGTACTTGAAAATGCAGGTTTTGAAAATGTAGTCTTCCTAGAGAGACTTTGGGGTTAAGGTACTCAGGTAGATGGTACTCAGGAGATCGAAATTCAGCTCCTGGCTCTGCCATGATTTCCTCTGTGACCTTGGGAAAGTCACTTACTCTCCCCAGGCTTTACTTCCACCTCTGTGAAATGGGGATAGTGATACTTCTATTGTCTGTCTTGTCTGCTGAGCTTGTAAGCTGTTTGGGCAGGGACAGTGTGTCACTAAGGCTACATCTACACTACAGCAGGGATCCACGATCTGAGATCGATCTACCGGCTGTCAATTTAGTGGGTCTAGTGAAGACCCACCAGATCGACAGCAGATTGCTCTCCAGTCGACCCCTGTATTCTACCCCTGACGAGAAGAGTAAGGTAAGTCGATGGGAGAGTTTCTCCTGTCGACCCCCCCCCCCCTCAGAGTAGACCCTAAGGTATCAAGCATCAGAGGAGTAGCCGTGTTAGTCTGGATCTGTAAAAGCGGCAAAGAGTCCTGTGGCACTTTATAGACTAACAGACGTATTGGAGCATAAGCTTTCATGAGTGAATACCCACTTTGTTGGATGCATATAGTAGAAATTTCCAGAGGCAGGAATAAATATGCAAGCATAAATATGCAACATACCTAAGGTATGTTGACTCCAGCTACGTTATTCACGTAGCAGGAGTTGTGTAGCCTAAGTCGACTTACCACGGTAGTGTAGACATAGTCTATGTGTGTGTATTGCACCTAGCACGATGGAGCCCTGATTTCAGTTGTAACACAAATATTGGTTTTATTTGTACCTTTCATGCTTTTTCACTGTCTCATTCTTGCTGAATAGTGGATGAAAAACATAGAACTTTGGTATCTGTTTAAAAAAAACCCTGATACTTACTTTGAAAAATATTGTCAAGAAAAGAGTCATAAATGTCTTTCCATTTTGTCCTCTCTGTCTGCTTTTAAAGGGATCTCCAATTTGGATATGTTTGTTGATAACATTCCTTCCAGCCTTGTTAAACTAAGTGTGATTGGAACCAAGCTCTCAGACTCTGCTCTCAGCTGTTTGTCTGATAAATCCTGGAAGCTAAGAGAAATGGATCTAACCCTTTCATATGGATTTGATGAAAAGACTCTGAAACAATTTCCCCACCTCTTTCCACTGCTGACTAGACTGTGCCTTAGGTATGACTGAACAATGTGCTACAGATATTGAAGAATGAAAGAAACTTACTACATTAGGACTTGTTGATGTTACAAGCTGCACTGGTCTAACTAAAAGTGTGAGGTTTTTTAGCCAATTTTTAGATAAACTGGTACAAGTCTGTGGGTAGACATGGTCATAGTTAACACCCCTTTAAAGCTAAATAAAGAGGCAGCACTAAGCGATTAAGAAAGGGATGGGTGTTCTTTATTTACCCTGTTTTGTGTCTCCTGGGAGTTATTTATCCAGTAAATGGAAGTGAAATAACTAAATCTGTTGTAATTCACACCTCTGGCTATTTCAGTTCAAGTCTGTTTGTGAATAAATGCCCTATTTTGAAATAATTCAGTAAAAAAGAAATCAAGTTATTCAGAAATAAGAGTATCAATACACAGGCTTGAACTGCAATAATTACAGATGTGAAATGTAGCCTCATTCAGTATTTTGGTTCCATTTACCATGTGAACAAGCCCTTGCTTCCAGACCATCAGATTCAGCCCAGTGTATTCAGAGGAGAGGAAGGGAAGGGCAAGGGAGATATCTCCCTTACCATGCCAGTAAAGCTAATAGGTAGTTGGGTAGTCAGTAGCAGGAGCAAGTGTTTTTGCTCTCACAAGTGCTGAAGAATTGTGGGCATGGGAAACTTGCCCTCATTTCCTTATCCTCTGAATATACAGGGAGACCTGAGCAGGAGGTGAGTTGATGATGTTGACCCCCACATGAGATGGCGAGTGACGTCATTAGTTGACTTCCAAAGAGCATAGGAGGGTGCCAGACTTGAAGACATTGTGAGGGTTGTATGGTGCCAGCACTTGGAACTGTGCGATGACTCTGGGTAGCCAATAACTGAAGAACCTGGCAGGGAAGTGAGGAGCTGGAGTAAGGGCAGAGCCATAGTCTCTGGCTGGAGGATAGTACATCTGGTCCCTCAGTATTCTTTCCCCCAGGGAAGTCTTTCTAACTCACTAGTCTCCAGATAGTGACGTCCAGGCGTGGTAAGCTGTCATTTTTACTCCTCCAGCCGGGGCAGGCAGAGAGATTTTCCTCTCTCCTTAGGTTAGGGGGGCCTGATAGCTCATCCAGCAACTGGGGAGGATCTGACCTTTGAATAGCTGTGAGTTGGCCAAAAAGCCCTGATCATGGTCTGGAGAAGACACATAATTCCCTTTGCCCATTCATACTGCATAGGGCAGCCCTCTGGGATAAAAAGTTCTTTGCAATTAGTTATGTTATTAATCCTTTGTCCCTGGCGATGCTCACTGCTGGCATGCTTGTGCATGGACAGGGACGTGGAAGAAACTTGTTAGGCCACCCAGACCACCTCTAATCTCTCTGATTCTATGAACACACATCGCTGCCATCACTAGTGGGAGATTCTGGATCTTTAAGTCCCCAATATAGAAAGTGTTCTTTTGCTCTGTATTTCAGATATCTCTGTTTCTAACTCCCTCTGAAGCCCTAAGTGCAATCTGTTTTTCATCCCCAGTGGTTTTGTTTTGACTGACAATATCTTGTTGAGCTTGGCTAAAATGGAGAGTTTGCGAGAACTTGATGTTACTGGTAGCACAAATCTGACAAAAGAAGCAATCCAGAATTTTCGCATCACAACGGACTGCAGGGTACATCTCCTCGTAGAGTGGCATTCAGTGTCTTCTAAATGTGACTGCTTATGGAGCACGTAATGCACTGCCTTTCTTATAACCCCCCACTGTTTACAGACCTTTGATTGCTAAATGTACTGCTATCAGGAAACCAAGAATGTTTCTGTAAAGTTCTGCTGAAATTCCATGTGAGGAAGAGATGTAGTGGAAACAAACCTCCAACATTCTCCATAACTGAATAGCTCTTCACTACAGCCAGTGGCTCATGAATATGAAAAACAGAAATGTCATCTTTGAGCCTGTAACTCTGCTAAGACAGAACTGTAAACAAATACTGGCATTCTATATTAAAATTTCTGAGTAAGTCTCCAGTGGCCATTGATAAAACTCTACACTTCTGTTAATATGATGCTTGACTACATGCAAATGATATTTTTCTTTTACTCTGTTGTCATTTCTGCCTGGTAAATTTTACTGACATTCTTAGCCAGCAGCTCAGGCATGGGAGAAGGGACAGAGGAAATAAGAGAAGCTGGGGCTCAGGGATACTGGAAAATAAGGGAAATACAAGAGGGGAGGGACTTGTCAGCATGTAAGTCTCAGTAAAGTGTCAGCAAGGAGGTGCCTGGGTGGATAAAAGTGAGTTACCGAAAAGGTCAGGATTCCAGCAAATTGCACCAGTCACAGAATGGAACCACAGGCCCCTTCTAGTTAACTTTCGCCATCCTGAAAATTTATTTTTTCTATTCTTTTAGGTGTCTTAGCCAGTTTTTAATCCATAGTGGCTCTTTACCTCCCAACTAATGATTACTTAGATTTTTGTAATGGCCTTTTATGGAGCTTTTGTCAAGAGCTTTTTGAAAGCCCAATAAACATTCAACCTGTTCTCCTTTATCCATAATTTATTATCTATTTTATTGGCCCATTCTAAGAGATTCATGAAACATGATTTTCCTTTACAGAAACCATGCTGGTTATTCCCTGTGATACTCAAGGTCATCCAAGTGGCTTACGTTTCTAGTTTAACCATTTTACCTAATGCCTGAGTGAGGCTTATTGGTCTGTAATTCCCAGGATCACCTTTAGCACCTTCTTTAAATACAGATCAAAAATTTGTTGCCTTCCACCAGGTATGAATCGCACTTGTCTGAACTGGTGTGGAAAAGTTTGGTTTCTACTAGTACTTAAACAATTTTAAAAACTTGTGTAGCTACACACAGTGGTGAACAACATTTTCTAGTGTAGGTCAGGCCCATCTGAAGCTATACCAATAAATGGGGTAGTTCATACCTAGTGTTTCAGGCTCTCTGTCTAAAAAAGGCTCGGTGCAGCATTGGGTTCATATTTGGAAGGTTTGTTTCAACAACTGTAAGGGCTATAAACTCAGTTTTTTAATTAAAGCTTAAATTTTGCAGGCTCCCATGAAGCTCATAGCATTCCCCAGATCTGTATTGGACATTGCTAGGTTCTACTACATTTCACTGTAACTGCTCCAGAAAAAGAGAGTGGCAGTATGGTCCGGTGAATGGGACACAGGAGTAGGTGTCGGAGCAGCTGCATTCTATTCCTGGCTTTGCTGAATCACTTTGCCTCTGTTTTCACCCCTTCTCTTTGTCTGTTTTTGTCTATTTATATTATAAGCTGTTTGAGGCAGGGACTGTCTCTTACTGGGGCCAGGTCTACACCTCGTTTTGCTGGCATAGCTGATAGGAGTGTGGAAGAAATCACCTCTAACCATAGAATCATAGAAGATTAGGGTTGGAAGAGACCATCTAGTTCAATCCCCTGCTCAAAGCAGGAGCAACCCCAATTAAATTATTGCAGCTGGGACTTTGTCAAGCCAGGCTTTAGAGGCTTTTAAGGAAGGAGATTCCACCACCTCCCTAGGTAACCCATTCCAGTGCTTCACCACCCTCCTAGTGAAATAGTGTTTCCTAATATCCAACCTAGGCCTTCCCCCACTGCGACTTGAGGCCATTGCTCCATGTTCTGTCATCTGCCACCATTGAGAACAACTTAGCTTTATCCTCTTTGGAACCCCCCTTCAGGTAGTTGAAAGCAGCTATCAAATCCCCCCACACTCTTCTCTTCTGCAAACTAAATAACCCCAGTTCCCTCAGCCTCTCCTCATAAGTCATGTGCTCCAGCCCCCTAATCATTTTCGTTGCTCTCCACTGGACTCTATCCAATTTGTCCACATCCTTTCTGTAGTGGGGGGCCCAAACCTGGATGTAATACTCCAGATGTGGCCTCACCGGAGCCGAATAGAGGGGAATAATCACTTCCCTCGATCTGCTGGCAGTGCTCCTACTAATGCAGCCCAATGTGCCATTAGCCTTGTTGGCAACAAGGGCACACTGCTGACTCATATCCAACTTCTCATCCACTATAATCCCCAGGTCCTTTTCTGCTGAAATACTGCTTAGCCAGTCGGTCCCCAGCAGTGCTTGGGATTCTTCCGTCCCCAGTGCAGGACTCTGCACTTGTCCTTGTTGAACCTCATCAGATTTCTTTTGGCCCAATCCTCCAATTTGTCTAGGTCACTCTGAACCCTATCCCTACCCTCCAGCATATCTACCTCTTCCCTCATCTTAGTGTCATCCAGAAACTTGCTGACGGTGCAATCCATCCCATCATCCAGATCATTAATGAAGATATTGAACAAAACCGGCCCCAGGACCAAGCCTTGGGGCACTCCACTTGCTACCGGCTGCCAACTAGACATCGAGCTGTTGATCACTACCCATTGAGCCCGATGAGCTAGCCAGCTTTCTATCCACCTTATAGTCCATTCATCCAATCCATACTACTTTAACTTGCTGGCAAGAATACTGTGGGGAACTGTATCAAAAGCTTTACTAAAGTCAAGGTATATCACATCCACCACTTTCCCCACATCCGCAGAGCTAGTTATCTCATCATAGAAGGCAATCAGGTTGGTCAGGAATGACTTGCCCTTGGTGAATCCATGTTGACTGTTCCTGATCACCTTCCTTTTCTCCAAGTGCTTCAAAATGGATTCCTTGAGGACCTGCTCCATGACTTTTTCAGGGACTGAGGTGAGGCTGACGGGTCTGTAATTCCCCAGATTCTCCTCCTTCCCTTTTTTAAAGATGGGCACTATATTTGCCTTTTCCAATC